GTTGTTATATACTTGGATGACTGAGAAAACAAACTTTGTGTTTTTGAAACCATTAGTGAAAAGGCCAGACTTCAGGGGTATCTGAGGCAGGCTTGAAACACAAGAGTCAGGGTGGCTTCTGGGTAATACCAGATGGCTAGGCCTCAGACTGACGAAGCCTCTTGGATGAGGGGCGAAACGTTTCTTTTTAACAAAAAAACGAAGTCCAGATGACATGATTCAACCTTTTTTGTTGTTATATACCTGGATGACTGAGAAAACAAACTTTGTGTTCTTAATATTCTTAACAGTAGCTTTGCTACAAGCGTGGTTCCACAGGCCTTTAAAAATGCAGTAGTCACTCCTTTAATCAAGAAACCTGGACTTGACCCCTCAGTGCACTCAAATTACAGACCAATCTCAAAGCTTCCCTTCCTGTCCAAAATCCTAGAAAAAATAGTTTTTACTCAGTTGAATCAATTTTTAACTGAGAACAAAATCTTTGAGGTCTTTCAGTCTGGTTTTAAGCAACTCCACAGCACAGAAACAGCTTTGGTTAGGGTTTGCAATGACATTTTAACTTCAAACGATTCTGGTCACTATGTGGTACTTGTACTCCTTGATCTTACTGCTGCTTTTGACACCGTCGACCACAGTATCCTCATCTCACGGCTCGAACACTGGGTTGGGATTACAGGAGCTGCTTTAGACTGGTTCCGTTCTTACCTCTCTGACAGGACTTTTTGTGTCAAGGTTGGTGAAAGTCTGTCCACTTCGGTCCCTCTTTCCTGCGGGGTCCCACAGGGCTCGATCCTTGGACCCCTTCTCTTCTCGCTCTATCTGCTCCCACTGGGATCCATCTTAAGAAAACATGCCATCTCATTCCATTGCTATGCCGATGACTGCCAGATCTACCTGCCACTGAAACCAGCCAGTGCTCGTTCCATCCACCCTCTCCTCAAATGTCTAGATGACATTAAGGCATGGATGACTTCAAATTTTCTCAGTTTTAACGACCAGAAAACTGAAGTCATCGTCTTTAGTCCTAGCTCAGCTGCCTCCTCAGATCCTGCAAACCTGGACTCACTTCAGCCCTATCTCAAGCACACTGTTAGAAATCTCGGGGGGGTTTTTGACTCGGATTTTAAGTTTGACAAACAGATCAGTTCAGTTCTGCAGAAAAGTTTTTTCCAACTGCGGCAGGTAGCTAAGCTCAAGCCAGTGTTATCCAGACCCAACCTTGAAACATTAGTCCATGCCTTCATCACAACCCGCCTGGACTATTGTAACTCACTTTATGCTGGGGTCAGTCAGGCGTCCATTTCACGTCTCCAGCTCGTCCAAAATGCAGCTGCTCGGCTTTTAACTGGTACACGTAGGTCTGAGCACATCACACCTGTTCTGTCCTCCCTTCACTGGCTTCCTGTGCGATCCAGAATCGACTTCAAGATTCTCCTCCTGACATATAAGTGCCTAAATGGCCTCGCACCCCTCTACCTCTCCGAGCTCCTGGAACCATATGTTCCGTCTCGGGCCCTGAGATCATCGGACCAGCTTCTTTTGGTCGTTCCAAAATCACGCCTGAAGCTCCGAGGGGATCGAGCTTTTTCAGTCAGAGGTCCCAACCTGTGGAACAACCTGCCCCTCAACATCAGGCAGGCCTCCTCCCTCCTGATGTTCAAATCCCTCCTTAAAACGCACCTGTTTGCTCTGGCGTTTAATACTGTGTGAGTTAGTTTATTTTGTTCTGTGTTACCGCATTTTAAATTCTGTTGTTTTATGATTGACGTTTATTTTTACTGCTTGTTTTTCCTTAGTGTGATCATTAGTGTGTGTTATTGCTCCAGTAATTTTAATTCTGTATGATGTTTTTGTTTTGCTGCCTATGTTTTGCTATATTTCTGTTAAGCACTTTGATAACAGTTTATCTGTTTTAAATTGTGCTCTACAAATAAAGATGACTTGACTTGACTTGACAGCAATGTGGAGCGACACTTCTAACACATTAGCTGCCATGAATCAAGCTGATTCCTTTCGTCCCCCTCCCCCATCAAAAACTTTCAGCACACGCAACACAGACCTATCTCCGTGTCTCCAATCACACCCTAGCTGGGCATGGGGAGCAAAAAAAAAAAAAAAAAACACCGGAAGTTAAAGGCGACTTTGAGCAAACAGCAGTTTTTATTCATGAAGTATTTTCACACTTGGAAGTCTTGAAAGATGCTACGATGAACGTGTGAAAAGTAATTTGTTCAGAAGAGTAAAAGATGTGATGATCAGTTAAAAATGCTGCCGATCTGAGGATCTGTACTAATGTTGCATTTAAAAATACACCGAATTTCAAATGTTACTGATGAGATTATACAGTGAGGTTGTCCTTGGGGTCCACTGTCATGCAGGAAAATGGGAAGTGTGGTAAAGAGGTGAAAGTAAAGAGAGTCCAGGCAGGATGGAAAAAAGTTTCAGGAGACATTTGTGACAAAAGGGTGTCGGCAAAGGTCAAAGGAAAAGTTTACAAGACCAGCTATATGTTGTATGGTC